CACAAATGACAATTAATTAAAAAATATATAATAATAAAAAGTAATATTAATAAAAACAAAAACTATAAAAACAAATTATGTAAGGAACTAAAAATGTAATTTTTAAAATATAGTAAATGATCAAAATTACAACTTACAAAATACCAATAATTTAATTTTAAATTTATGAAGGACGAAAAATGTTAGGTTAAAATTAGTTTAAGGGTAAAAAATATACAACCAAATAAAGTTTTAGGAGTAAAAAATATAGAACCAAATGAACAATGCCATGTGAGGGAGCACCTCGTTCATAAATAATATATAAAATATTAATCTTGGTTGTAATTAGATGTAAACTTGGATGTATATAATCAAATACATTGGATAACTAATAGTAACTTTAACTATGCTAGAAAATAGGATAGAAACATAAATAGATAATCACTGTATTCTTTAAGGATCGTGTCGATTCACTTTCTGAATCGATATTTCTCTCATGTGCTTTGGTTACGAGGAATTCGACATTGGATAATCCTCAAATGAACAATCAAGATTTTAGGCATAGAAAATTGATCAAGAAGAGAGAAAATATGGTATATGTAAAAAATTTGTATGTTTCAAAACAGGTTCTTTCCTCATACAACTCCTCAATTGGATAAGAAAGTTATGAAACAGATAACCATACAAAGTTACATTGGAACGAGAGAAGAACTTAAGCTTGAGATTATGGCGCGGAAATTTAAGTTAATCTCTTGGATCTTTTGATTAGCTCAACGATAAATTAGTACGAAATATTAAGAATAGTTTATATCAGAAATTGATATTGTCATATTTATACATATATTTTTTGCCATATTCTTAATATATTTGATTAAAATATTATATTTTTAGATATATGATACTTAATATGCTTGAAAATGCTAAATTACAGTTAAAATGAAGCTAAGATGCAAAAGAAAGACAACAGAGCTAAAAAGACGCAGAAAAGATGTTGGTTGACAGATTGACTTATCTTCGGTGTTTTGGTCATCTCTAATGACTCGTAACTCCGATTGATGAGATTGAAGATGTTCTGGAAACTAGACAAAATTTCAGACGACTTTCGTGTTTGAGCAAAATTATGATTCCCAGTTCCCACAGCGTGGAAAAGGCATTACCACAGCATGACGGATCCAAAAATCCCCATGTCGATCTACGAGTTCGTGTGCGGCAAAGAAACCCATTGCCAAGTCGTGGCAAGGCTATTGCCACGCCGTGGAGGCAAAAAATCTATAAATTATGGGTTTTGTAGCCCTAATTCCAAGGCCATCTTCACTGTAACACTCATAAAAAATCATGATAAATTTAAACTTTTTAAATATAACCCAAAACTATAAAGTGTTTACAAAACAGTTTTCAAAACATTTCCAACATCATAGTTTTCCCAAAATCTTAGATCATAACAAGAAGATGTGTACGGTTACGCCTTTGCCTTCCCATGGTCATCCGAAATACCTGAAACATAACCTAAAATTGTAAGTCAACGCTTAGTGAGTTCCCCCAAAGTACCAACACATAAACAATAACTTATACAATAGCAACATGCAATGGGTCCACAGCTAAAAGACTGGATTACCCCTGAACCCACAGCATAAGTCTGGCTTGCCCTCGGAGCCCACAGCTTATATATGGCTTGCTCCCCGACCAGATCAGTCCTCGGACTGGATACCATCAAGTCCTCAGTACGAGTCTGGCATACCACCCGGTCCTCATCTCGTATCTGGAATGCTCATGAGCCCTCAGTATGAGTCTGGCATGCCCTACCCCGCCATTAGCTCATATTTGGAATGCTCTAGGGTTTGTTGGCTACCGTACGGAGCAATACAGCCTCAACCCAACACAATATGTCGACATATACCAGATAATAAACATATACAGATAATCATGCAACAGAATCACAGGTAGTCCTACAGATTTACCAAACTAGCATAAACATGCATATCTATCCCATACTCATCATATCATTGAATATCAAACCAATGGGTTGGCCTTGGTGCCTTCAACCCGTAAGTACAATGAGGAAAACTCACCTCGCAAACTGGACAAAAGCTGATGAGGTCTCAACTCTGAATCTCAGCTCCAACCGCCTCCTATTCCAACCAAATGACCAATCTCAATTAGAATTCACAAAATACCCTTAAGCTCAAACTTGGTCAAAGTCAAAGTCAACCGGTCAAACCAACTAAGTCAACTAAGTCAACCCGCCGAGTCAACCCAACCGAGTCAACTCAACCGGATTGACCCAGTGCGAGTATGCGAGGCGTACTCCAAAGGTACGCTGGGCGTACACGAGTCTTCGCATGTTGACCACCAACGAGGTGGTTGACCTCGTACGCAAGGCGTACTCTGAGTACGCGGGGCGTACTCTCGCAAACTTCAAAACTCATTAAGTGCTTAATGGCTTAAGCACTTGCGTCCATATTTCAGATCCAAGGCTAAAATATACTCTAGAGTCATAAAATTTACAACTTTATGACTTTACATGCCCATTAAGTGTTTATCTCAACTTCTTAATCCATTAAGACATTCTACAAGATGCATGGAGCAAAACCAACCATTTGAAACCCATTTTCATGACTCAAGACACCCCCAAGGGTCTGAAAGGACAACTTAATGGGTCAAGAACATGCTTTGTTCATGAAACACCACATATGGGACAAAAAGAACCTAAAACTAACCCAAAACAAGATCTACAAGAAACTACACCAAGTTCAGAACTTGATACCTCAAAATGATGTCAAAGGGTGGTGTGATCCTGGATCTAGAAAGCTTCACTCCTTCAAGGTGGTCTTCTCTTCCTTCCTTCTTCTTTATAAAAAAATAAAAATAAAAACAAGCAAGTCCGTTACAAAATAAAATATTGACCCTTAAAATTATAGCATCTAGACTTAAAAGGGTAACATATTTTTCGATTTGTACACATTTAGTCACTAAGTTTTTTTTTTGTTCATATTTTACCATTGAACTTGTTGAACTGTTCAAAAAACATCCTTATGACTTGCTATAGGAGGTTTAGCTGGTTTTCCGGCGTTCTTGTGAGTTCCGGCGAGTCTCCGGTCATCTTCTCCAGCCAAACATTAATTTTTCCGGCAACTTTGTCATCTCCAGAAACCAACAAGTTTGAAAGGTTCCAAATTCGTGGGTTTTTAAGAAAGAAAAAGACCATAGCAGATCTGGTGTTCTTGGTTACAAGAACCCAAGAACTCATATTTCGATTTCAAAAGAAGAGGGCTATGAAGATGAAGGGACTGTGAAGTTGAACACAAAAACCATAAAAACCCAGATCTAGCACTATTAGAAATCCCAAAGCTCGATTTCTTGAACTCGATTTCAGATTTAAGTTAATGTGTGTGTGTGTGTGTTTTTAGATTCGAGTTTTGGGTTCATAAATCGAAACGAGAACAAAGAGGTTTTTTTATCAGAAAATCAAACGAAGATGTTTGGAGATCTGAAAATCGAATGAAGAGATTTGGGTTTAAACTCGAATGAAGAGATCTAAAAATCGCTACAAACCTTAAACATCATTTGATTTCAGATCTGAACACTTCTGGAGCTCTTTTTTTTTTGGGAAGAAGATGAACATGATGAAGACGAACACCTTACTGAAAATCGATAAACACACCATGTTTGAAGGTTTTCAAGGGAAGCTTCGAGCATCAGATCTGGGTTGAAGACAATAAACATCATATATGGGTTGGAGTTTGAAGATGATGAACATCATATATGGAACAACACTCAGATTTCAAAACACGATGTAGCTTCAAACCTATTTTCCAGATCTGACCTTCAAATCGATTTCATCCATGGAGTGTATGTCGGATCTAAAAAAACAAGCAGGTGTGTGTTGGAAATCGTTTCCAGATGGATTCTTCTAAAATAAACTCGAAATCTAGAGTTTTTCGGATGGATTTGTTCATATTGTGTTTCAGATCTTTATCTAGTTCATCAGGGTTGTTCATCGTGTTCTTGAGAGCTTCTTTATATTTGAGTGTATGTGTTTGTTCAGAACACGAACCCATATCTGGATGTGTGTATGATTTCGTTTTTTGACAGATTTTCTATAAATGATTTATCAGATTTGAGTGTGTGTATATGTGGGTTACATCAGAACACGATCCTAGGCTCAAGAAATTGTTTCAGGTTTGCTTAAGAACACTATGGCTGGAGGTTGAAGACGATGAACAGTGATCTGATGGAAAATCATGAATGTCGGAGTTTTTGAGTTCGCCGGAAAAATCAGGAACGCCGGAGAAGATGACCGGAGCTGTCAAATACGCCGGAAACCGGCTAAACCTCCAATAGCAGGTCATAAGGATGTTTTTTGAACAGTTCAATGGGAAAATGTGGACAAAAAAAAAATTCAATGACTTAATGTGTACAAATCAAAGAATATGTTACCCTTTTAAGTCATTATCCCATCCAGTAAACTAGTAGTTCAATGAGAGCTTTTATATTAGTAACCAAATATATATGATTTTTTAGTAGTTCAATACATATAAGTTATACAAACTTTTTCCTTGTAGATGTAACCCACATATATTAAGAAATTGTTTTTTGTTTTTCTTGAAACATTGTTTTTTATTGCACACAACGCTAAAAACCATGTCAAGTGTTATTTAGCTTTCAAGATTATTAATATAATATTTACAAGTCTTTTTAATATGATAAAATAGAAAACCTTAAAACCCCCAAGTCATACGACATAGAATTTATAGTTTGAAAATTGAGTCTTTTTATTTAAAATAATATTATTTCTTATTTGAATGCGATTAATAGAAATAAATAACTATTAGGCATAAATATCATTCAAATCTTTATAAGCTTTTAGTTTCCAATTTTGGTTTAGAAATTTATATCTACTTGATAAATGATACATAATAAACTTAAATAATACTCTATATATCTGTTTTGAATAAAATAAATAAAAAGTAATACAATATTATATTATCATATAATATTTTCGTGTAAGTGTAAATTGGTAAAATGGAAAGTGTGGAAGGGAGTATATATCTTGCGATGCCCATTCTTCTTCTTCCTCGTGTAAAAACTCCATTCTCGTTGTCAATGCATATACAGTAGCATCATTCTCCCATTCGTATATCCGTCATACTCGGAATAAGATTAGGAAACCCTAGAGAAATTCTTTTGTTTTTCTTGTAATTGTGTTAGATATAATGGAAGCGAAACCAAAGGTTAACGGCGGCGTAAAAGATGGAAAACAGAACCGCCGTATGCCGGCAATCCATGGTCCTACCAATCCAATGGTTACGCCACTCCTTACAGATCTTTATCAGTTCACCATGGCTTATGCTTATTGGAAAGCCGGCAAGCATAAAGACCGCGCCGTGTTAGTTTCTCAATTCCTGTTTTTCATTTTTATAATCTTGCTTAATTTCTATGTTTTTTGTATAATTCGATGTATGTGGTGTAAAATTCTTTGTCTTCAAATTCCTTTTTGTTTACTCAGATAATATAATTCGTCTGCGAAGCGTATTATTCACGAGAAATGTAAAAACTATAGGTAAATAGAATTGCTTTAAGTTGTAATTCGTGATTCCTAATTGTCATATACCAAAACAGTGGATTGTTTTCAGCCGTCATTGGAACAAATTAGGAAATTTTAGCCGTTTGGATATGGAATTATGAAGTTCCCTAGATACTGGCGTTTTTAAGGCTGAATAAGTTCTGATTACTGTATTTATATGAAGTTCTAAGAGGTAAATTATGCACAAATGCTATTCTGGAATCAGGTATAAGATTTATCGAGAATGATAGCGTTTAAATCCTTAAGATTAAGGAGACAGAGTGCATGCAATCATTAAGGAAGTAGGGTCTTCAACAGGAAAGGATTACACTGAACATTAGAAGAGTAATGTAAAAAGAGTAATAAATCAGCCTTTGCTTGATGTATTCTATGCATCCATTCCAAATTTGATATCATTTGAGATTGTGATTTGTAATTGTAACTGATTATACTTTTTGTGTTTTAAGATAATTATTATGTGTTTCTGTAAAATAAAATCTTTAAATCATGAATTGGAAGCATCTTTGTTGTCTATTGGGTTTAGTAATTCTTCATATTAATACTAGTTTAATTAAAACCTTTAAGAATTTACAACTATATTAGAATCTATTTAGATTGCTTATTGTCATGATTTTGTTTCAGGTTTGACTTATATTTCAGAAGGAACCCATTTTGGTGGTGAATATACAGTTTTTGCAGGTCTAGAAGAATGCATAAGATTCATTGCAAACTTTAAGTTATCAAAAGAAGACATTTGCCTTTATTCGAGAATGTTTATCTCCTACATGTGAGGTAAGTGTAACTAACTTTCAACTCAACAAGATTCACAAGTAATGATTCTGTCAAATACAGTTGTGAAGGGTAAAATGGTCATTCACTAACCTTTTGATGATGGGTGTAGGATGGCTTCTTCGAGTATCTTGGAGGAATCGATTGTTCTGATGTTGAAGTATATGCTATTGCTGAGGGATCTGTCGTATTCCCTAAAGTACCCTTGATGAGGATTGAAGGCCCTGTGGCTGTAAGTTTTGTTTTCTGACATGCAGGGCATTTTTGGAAACATTTAGACAAAAAGATCGAATCTTTGAAAGTTGTATATGTATTGTTGTTATTTCAGGTGGTTCAACTTTTGGAAACTCCTTTTGTGAATCTTATAAATTTTGCTTCTTTAGTCACTACAAATGCTGCAAGACACCGTTTTGTTGCTGGAAAAAATAAACTTCTTCTTGAGTTTGGGCTTCGGCGGGCCCAGGTTTTAGACAGTTTTTTTTTTTTTTTTTTAATTATTAACGGTTTTCATGGGCTATAATATTTTTTTTAAATCTTTTGTTTCTTTCATGTGTAGGGCCCAGATGGTGGTGTAGGGGCATCAAGGTATTGCTACATGGGAGGATTTGATGCAACAAGGTGATCTGTTTCTTTTTTACTTAATGAGCTTTTAATGCTTTAAGCATTTAATTTGGACAAAATGACTTAATGCCTTAAAATGGTCATTTAGTAATTATTTTTTGTGTGAATAGCAATTGTGCAGCTGGAAAGTTATTTGGAATACCACTTCGTGGGACCCATTCTCATGCTTTTGTCAGCTCCTTCACGGTTGGTGTCATATATATAATATAAACTTTTTATTTTTCATTATTAATATTTTCCTATGACTTATTATAATAATCAATCTGTTGATATTTAGGGACCTGATGAGATTACAGAAAAGTCTCTCAAAAGTCAAGATGGATCAAAAGTATGCAAAGATTTTGTGAGTCTCACACAGACATGGTTAAGCAAATTAAAGGTATACTTATTATAATAATTACATTTATATTCCCATAATTTATCATTTGTATCACTTTAAAAATTGTATATAAACAGAGATTAAGTTCATCAGAGGGCGTTTTTGGCGAAACCAATCAAAGTGAGCTGGCAGCTTTCGTTTCATACGCCCTTGCGTTTCCCAACAACTTTCTTGCTCTTGTGGACACATATGATGTAAGTCAAAAAAACTAAAAAATAAAACTTCAATATCTTCTTTTTCTCATTTAATATTTAAAATTCGATATGTTTAGGTGATGAGGAGTGGTGTCCCTAATTTTTGTGCTGTAGCTCTAGCACTAAACGATATGGGGTATGTTTTTTTTTTCTTTTTAACATTTTAACTATCTATATATAATTTTTTATTATTTAAAATGTTTGTAGATATAGAGCAAAGGGAATTAGATTAGACTCTGGTGACCTTGCTTACCTGTCATGTGAAACAAGAAAGTTTTTTCAAACCATTGAAAAGGAATTTCAGATTCCTGATTTTGGAAACACTGGAATCACTGCTAGCAATGATCTTAATGAGGAAACATTAGATGCTCTAAACAAACAGGTGTGACTTTTTAAATTTTTTATAAAATTATTGACTATTGAAATTGTTATTAACATTTTTTTTTTAAATGGTTGATTAGGGGCATGAGGTGGATTCATTTGGAATTGGAACAAATTTGGTGACATGTTTTGCTCAACCTGCTTTAGGCTGTGTGTTTAAGCTTGTTGAGATTAATAACCAGCCGCGTATAAAATTATCAGAAGATGTCTCAAAGGTTTGGAATCGGTATATTTTATAAAATTTGTTAAAAAAGAATGGTGATTTTTTAATTTTTTTGGTTTTTAGGTATCGATTCCGTGTAAAAAGAGGTCTTATAGATTGTATGGGAAGGAAGGTTATGCACTTGTAGATATAATGTCAGGTGAAAATGAACCACCTCCAAAGGTATGTAGAAAATGACAAAAATACCCATATATAAAATGAATGAATGGATTAGTTTTTTTTTTTTTTTGTTGAAAAATAAAATAATAAATACACAGGCAGGGCAAAGGATTTTATGTAGACATCCGTTTAATGAATCGAAGAGAGCTTATGTGGTGCCACAACGTGTTGAGGATCTTATCAAGTGTTATTGGCCTGGAAGTGCAGGTGTGAGATTTTGATTAGATAATATTAATTTTATTTTTTTATTTATGAAAAAAAATAATAATAATATTTATATAATAAATATGTGAAGAGAAAGAAAGAGAAGAATTGCCAACACTTGTGGAGATTAGAGATCATTGTATGAAGCAATTGGAGCAAATGAGGACAGATCATATGAGAAGATTGAATCCAACCCCCTACAAGGTATGTATTAAAAGTTAAAACAAAAATAAAATATTAGTATCTATTAATAATCTATCTGTTATCCCATATCTATTTCTATTCTGTCTTATAAAAGAGGTCATTCAAGAAAAATTATTATCTTTTACCACATTAATTTGAATTTTTTTTATTGATTAACTCACACAAATTAACGTATCAACCTTTTAAATTCCTTGATACTCTTTTTTATTTATTTCTTATGGCTGAATGAAATTCCTTGGTGGAGTAGGTTAGTGTAAGCACAAAGCTGTATGAGTTCATTCATTTTTTATGGCTGAATGAAGCACCTGTTGGGGAGTTGCAGTAACATGCTGTTGCTACTACATTAATAGTAAAATACACATGACATCATACTCATTCAAGATGTCTTTACTCAAAAACATAATAATTTTTTATTTTTATTTGTGTGAAGGTTTTTTTTTTTTTTGGTTTGTTATATATTTTGACATGCTTATATCATATACATTAATAAATGTTTGTATCCGTTATGTTGATTGTAATTGTATCTGGCAATTTTTTTGTATGACAAACGTATTGTATCTTATTGTGTCGGGTGTATGGTTTAGAATTTAGATCTTATAATTATGACGTGTCGTGCTAGATTGAAACATTAAATTGGTTGAAAGAAAGGGAGTTAGAGAGGTGGAAAAGAAAATGTGAAAAACATGAAGGAGTAGTAGTTTGGAAGGCAAAGAAGTGAAATCCACAATAAGTTTAGAGGAGTGAAGTCACATTGAAAAAAAAAATGGGAAAATGAGATTGTGGAATAGTAATGAAAATTTGAAAAACAAAAAATAAGTATCAACTGAGCGGCTAATTAATGGCTTATAGATTACAAAACAATTCAACATAAAGTTTTCTTTTACATTTGATTTTGGTTTTGTACATGCCCTGTTCACTTAAAAGATTAAAAGAAATTGCATATAAATAAACAGGTAATTTTCTTGTCATTTTCATGTTGAAAGTTTGGACCCTAACCTTAGCCGTTTAATTTTGGTGTCGTATCATGTCAACTCGTTTAATTAAAAAGATTGGAATCTACGACTCAAATCCGTTTATTTGCAATTCACGTTTTGTTTTATCCAAATGACTTCTCATTTAGTTTTAGTTGGCCATTAGAACTAGATGAATTCTAGTTTTTTTTTTTGTTTGTTTTAATTGTTTTAAAGAATGACAACTAGTAACAAACAACAAAATGGTTATGTGAAAGGATTTATTGTCATTGTTGATTGTTTACATGGATTGTACACTTTTACTCCATCGATTTATGAAAGGAGCCGAGTGTTGGGAGCATTTACATAAAGCTTCATGCAAATTTCCAACTTAGTTAAGACCTAGTTTAGATGAAGTTGGTAAAGTTGTGTCAAATTAAAGAAGTTATTTTAATTAGGCATTTATGGTAAATGAAGAGTATTAGATCTTGTTAACCACTACTTGAAATGAACATGGATTTAGGATTAACTCACATGATAAAAGAATAGAACTTACTAGCACATTAAATCTTCCTTTTAAAAGTAAACTATAAACTAGAGTAAACACAACACCAATAAATACAAAATTGATCATGTCCATTATAACTAAAAACTCTTTTTGCATAAAATAACTAGGTACCACACATACATACATCATTGACTTACCAATCCCAATACTTGTTAAGATCTTCATCCACAACTCTGTTAGCTTAGCTTCTTCATCATGATTTGAAAGCCAATTTGTATTCTTTAAATGGGATTTGAATTTTAATCAACTCTAATCCCTTGTTTTACTAAATTGAGGCGAAAAGATCATTAAGTTTGACCCAACCATAATCACACCTGTCCCTAACCTTCTGTGCTGTGGAAAAAGCTAATCCAACCAAACCTCTTATCCTACCAACCTCTTTCTCAACTGCAGCCTTCAACTTAGCATCAACCTGAAATACATTAACTAATTACAAAACAATTCATATCAATATCTGAAATTTTTAACTAATGACAAAAATAACCTTGTCAATGCAGCGATCGGCATCCAGGAGATAACAGAAGTAAGAGAGTTGTTTGTACACATCAGCCTCCGAATACTAATCAAAAATAAAGTTTCAGTAATTGTTGTTGAATGAAGGGTAATGACAAAAATAGTGTTTTTGACTTTGAGAGTTGAAGAGATGAAAACCAACCTGTCTCACAAGACGGCCATTACAGTGAGGGTAATTTGGGCATACTGTTCCTCTCTCAGATTCACCAACAACACGCAAGTTTAAACTCCGTGTTGTGTAGTCACATGTTTCATCATCACACTGAAATTTTACATCCAATTTCAGTAAAAAAAAAATTTAATGGAATTCTTGTATGAAAATCATAATAGCATTTGTTTGCATACCGTCATAAATCCTTTGTAGTATGTGGATATGAACAATTCAGCTCGTCTTTTTACCTGATTCCATTCCACCAATAATTTACTCACTTTATTTCTTTCCATTTGAAGCAAAAACAAATTAAATTTAGTTAAAATTGAAAACCTGATTGGCTAATGATGCTGGAGGGAGTTCCACTTGACATTTAGGGCAACAGAATTTCTGCCAAAAGGTAGTGGTGGTGTTGGTTGATTCATCTTGCAAGTCTTGTGGCTTTTCAAGGGCTACTGTTTGTATGTAACTCAGTACAGATGGACACTTAAAACTAACACAGCAATCAGGACATGATATATTTAAAGCCTCACACCCCCTGTATCTGCAATAATCAAACATCGCAAAAGTTTAAAAAATGTATATATATATATATATATATATATATAACCCCAACAGGTGAAAATTTCAGAAGAGAATTAGTAACTACCTCTCTTCATCATCTGTCATGCAAATAACAGAGCCAGAATGATCATTGTTTGCGACTTCACTTGATTTGCTTTGAAACTGAAAACAAAATCGTTATTAATTTTATTAGTTAACTCATCAATGTTATAAAACATATTTGGAAATAATAGGTTATAGAATATTAGAATATAGATACCTTGGAAGGATCAAGCCCTAAACAATCAGCTAAAGTAGCTGGGCTTGTACCCTCAATTGATGCACATAGACGCGATACTACTGGATGAATCTGAATGTACCCAAAATAAATGATTTTAAGTATTTAGATAATATAATTAAAAAATTAAAAATTACCAAAAAAAGGTACCTGTTGTGCTAGATAATAGTCAATGTCAATCATCAAATTCTCATTATCCTTTGTGAGTTCATCTGGATGTCTTGCACGTTGAGCAATCCCTACTGATGTACTCAAACCATTCCCCTGTGAAATTTATTAAAAAAAATGCAAATTAGAGATAAATAAATGTGAAAAAGTAAAATTAGAAATAAAAATAAAAGCTTAATCACAAACCTTCTCACAGCAAATTATATAAGGAACTGTATCTCCAGCAGAGCAACCACTGGTGTACCCTAGTTTCCTCAGCCTGAGTGCTACCTATAAGTAGATATGTTTATGTATTAATAAATAAAACCCATAAATTATTAAATACAAAAAAAGGTCAAAATATTTACTTCAACATGAGGTTGACTTTTGGCATCTGGGTAGGCTTCAGGAGGTCTAGTCAACGTTTTTGTAATGATATATTTCTCCAAACCTATTTCTCCCTTCCTCATATCCTCTTGTACCTTTCTGAGTTTGTTGTGTATTGCTTCAACAACTTCTTCACATGACCTGTCATTATAAATTATAATAAAATTAAAATTAAAATTAAAATTTCAGAAAGTAATGATGATGATTATTAAGAGAAGAAGACATACAGCTCAGATAATATTTGTTCAAGACAGAAATCTCCAGTCTCCTTTGATAACAAACTCCAGTCACGTCTGACCATATCCAGACCTTTCCTCTCTATAACTTTATAAATTTTCCCATCTCTTATTTGCTCTTTCACAGCTGCATACTTCTTCTTTTTAAGCAACAGCATTCTCTTGTATACACCATCAAGATCAATTTCTAATCTCTTGTATCTCTTGTTCACCTAACATTAAATCAAAACCAAAAACTCAATTCACCAACTTTTCACTATTATAATCTCAAAACTATTTATAAAACTGTAAAAAACTACCTCTTTGATGATATTTCCTGCGATTGATTTGGCTTTATTGATATCATCAAGTCCAGTATATATCATGATTGAATCAGTGTCACCATAAATCACATCAAAGTTTAGATTGTTGCGAACAAGATCAACAGTGCTTTGTAAAATCTCTCTCCCCTGTAAATAAATAAGTTGTAATACTTTTCCATATATATTTTTTTTATTAAAATCTTTCTTACTTGTAGTGTTATAAGTTCTGCAAGTGGCTTTGCATAGAATCTTGAACTGGAAAAACCAAGGCATCCATACATACTGTTGGCTGTTAGTTTCAATGCTTGTTGTTGTATGTCAAATTGTTGATACTTGAGGCCTGATGCTGTCTTTAATAATCTTTTTACATGTTTCCTTCTTTCAACCAGATTTTTGAGTAACTACAAAAAGTAAGTAACACCATATGAAAGACTTATACAAACATTAAACCAGTGTAATCAATTTAACTATGGTTAAAATCTAACCTCGGGTAAAACTCCAGTTGCTTTTGCAGATGGTAATCGAGGAACTAAACCATCTTCAGATCTCTCTACTGTTGTAAAGCAGATATTGTACTCCTGATTGAAGAAAAAAAACACAGAAAAAAGATAAGAGAGAAGGGTAGAAAGTGTTTAAATTTAAAAAGTATGGTGGAGATATGACAAACCTGGATAATGGAAGGGTAGAGACTGTTGAAATCCAGAAGTAAAATGTATTTATCATATAAACCTTTTTTGGGTTCCAACACAAGCCCACCTGCATATGAAGCTGCTTTTTTGGATTTTACAGGCTCATTTCCTGGAGGGGCGATTTCGTCATTTTCACCCAAATCGTTGTTTACTTTGTCTTCTGGACCATCTGATTTACGTTTTACTGTTTTGTTTTCTTTTGGAGTATAAAACCTATCAGGTACCATAAATTTTTTAGCATGGAATGCATGCAACAAGAGATATTCCACTCTTTGAGCTCTAGCACCCTGAAATCATTCACATAATAAGTTATTTCATAAAAAAAAAATAATAAAAAAACACATTTAGTGGATGATTTTTTTAACTTTTCATTAGTTTACCTGAAGAGTTTTTCCCCATAAATTGCCACTAATATTAGTCAGTTGTCGTGTGAGAGGAAGAACACTCAAATGAAACATGAGCTCCATTGACAACCATGCATCTGTCTCCCCAATTTCAATCTGCAAATCCAGAGTGTTAACAATATCAAGAAAATAAAAAATAAAAACAAAATAAAAATTAAAAAAGTTGAGAAGTAGAACATACAAGTTCCATTAGGGTTTGAGAACTTTGGAACATTCCAGGAATATCATGTGGAGCAATCTCTTTTCGATTCTTACTTAACTGAGTCTTTGCAAGTTCTGTCAATGAATAACTAACCTGAAACCAAAAAAAAAATTGTTAGAAACTAAATATAAACACTTAACTTGTTATTATACTATATTAATAGTAATATTAATATTACCTCCTTTAAAAGATCACGAGAACACAAAAAGGTATCACATAAAAGCCTGCCAGCAATGCAAGACATAATTCCCGGACTTGCCCCTGACCCAAAAACTGTATTTCCTTTATTAAGTCTAGGCATCTCAGACCTCTTAAGTCTTCCTATTTTTGACCACATGCTATTAGGAACTTTGCAAGCCTGCAAAACATTATTATTAAAAATGGTAATACAAATACAAATGATCACATTAAATTCATTAAATCAATAAGTTTGTTAGTATTGTAAAAACCTTGACTCTGTTGAGAAGAACATCAAGGTCAAATCCAGATATGTTGTGGCCAACAAGAATATCACTATCTAATTTGTGTAATTCAATCATTAACCGATTTAATAAAGCTCTTTCACTGCTTTCCATGCTAATGATGTTTGATCCAGCTTTTAAGTTTTTATCTGCTGCTTCTTTGTTAAATCCCATTGGAAATAAACCATCTTCAAGCTTACGTACAACTGTGAAATGACTCAACATTCCAGGTTTTGTCCATTCTGAAGCCAACATTGGTGTATCAATCTGAAAAAAATAAATGTAAAGTATTTATATTTAATGTTATCAGTAATGTTACAAACAAGATTTTAAGAAAGAATGTGAAAGTACCTTGGCCTTATGACAGCAGATGACAGATGCAGATGCAATTTCGTTTATGTTTTGTTTTTGATTTATTACAGTTTTCAGATTGATTGCAGTAACAACTACAGGAGGAATTTCTCCGGTGTTTTTTGAAGAGGTTGCAATTTTAATGTACTTAGGGGAATCCACTGTAACCTCAAACTTACACCAGCTTACCTGATCAAGGGGTAAGAAAGTAATTTGAGCATTTTGTTAAGATCTTAACTGTAAATGTAAAATTTAAAGGCTTACACGTTTGAGCAGTAGAATAGGTGGTAAATTTTGAAAGTGATAGCCATGAAGGTCCCTTTATCTTTCTTTTGATAAGAAAAAGCTCCAAAGCACTAAATGAAACAAAATATTAGTTTTCAGATTCTTGTGAAATGAATAAAAATTTATCAGCAACTTTTATACCTGCTATGTGTTCCAAGCAAAGCACGAAAGGTTTCTCCTTTAAGATCTGAAGGAAGTGGTGGATCCTGCAATTACAATATATACAACATCAGTAAACACTTAATGAATCTTCTTTGTGAAATGTAGCATGATTAATCTTCTTTGTTAAAGGTGTGAAATACCTTAAATGGATAGCTGATTTTGAGTACATAATTCTCTTTGCGCTCTATGTCGGATCTTTCAAATGCATAATTTCTCTGAAAATAAATAAATAAATCAGTTTAAGCACAATATATATATATATATATATATATATATATATTCATTGATTTTTGAAGCTAATTAGACTAAGAACCGGACCTTGACAGGTTTCATGCTAAAGTTTGAAACATTTCGATCAAGCAATTGTTTCTTTATGTTGGCCTTCAATCCAGATGCCATCTCCTAATAAAATAAAATAATTAAACAGTGATTGTCAACAATAACTGAATAGTACTAATAATACAACCAATGTGATGATTGTAAATTAAAAGAGACCAAAAGGCAAGAGGTGTATTACATGAAGCTTGGTGTGAAAAGCTGTAGGTGTTATTTTTGACTCTTCAACATCTTTCTCAAGATTCATAATGACAGAGTCTTCAAAAACAGGACCGTTTGGGATAGCATACATGCATCTTTGCATATTCTTCACGACCACACAACAGCTGTGATAAGTACTTCCTGCTTTCACCTTGATTCAAATGAAAGTTTTTAAAGATCAAGATCAATCTTTATCTCGGTAAGAATGATAAAACAGTGAGTCTTATATAATTAATCAAGCGTTAGAATGCAAATGAACAGGGTCAACTGACATGTAACTGAATTAGCTAAAATACCTTCCCAAATAGATAGATATTGCCAGCATTAGAACCAGAAAACTCCTCATATGCATCGAGCATGTAGAAAGGAAGAGATCCATCAAGTTCCACCACGAATGGTGGTTTTTCATCAGAATATACACCAGGACCCATCTCAGCATTCAAATCAGAGCTTATGTTCGTCTGCAATCCTGCTGTTGCACTGAAAGTTGGATCCTTTTCCACTTTAATTTTAGCATTTAAAGTCCAACCATCGGCCTCCTTCATCACTGGCTCAACTTTCAGTTCGCCAGTATCCTTAGATGCTTCAACTTCACTTGTCACCACCGGTGGCTCCTCCACAACACCCAAATCTGTTTCATTTTTAGAAAATTCTAGCACTTCCTTCCCTTCTTCTATTACGTCGTGTTTATGCAAACTATTTGACGATAGAGTATTCACAGGCACCACACTTGCAGGTGTATTTTCGGTCTTAATCGAGGTAATCAAAGCAGCTGGTGCTAAAACTGTGCCATTCTGGGATGATCTTTTGTTTCCTCGTCTCCGTTTCTCTTTATCATTCTCGTCCGGTGCAAATTCAGCAAGCACATCATCAAGAACACTATCGGAAGACGCCACTGAAGGCTTACTCTTATTGAAAACGGCAGAAGTAAACAAGTTAGATATCCTTTGCTTACCCATTAAAGCAGCTGCAGCTTCAAAAGAGGGCTTCTTATGTTCCTTCTTTTCCGTTTTCTTCTTAGGTTTCTTTTTCTCCAATTCACCTTCTGATTCCTCTTCTGAGGACGGAATTACGCCGGATTTAGTCCAATCAACTTCTTCGCCTTCGTCCCCGTAACCAAGGCCGTCGTCGTCCACGATAAACCCTTTAAAATCTTCACGGCGTTGGGCCACGAGGTTCTCGTACTCATCGTCATCGACAGTATCGTAGATTGGCTCATCGATCTTTATTTTGTAACGTTCTTCGCCAATGTCGGCGCCGCCGCCTTGTCTGCGGATTTTGAGCTTGCGGAGTGCTTCAGCGCGCTCCTCAGACTGCATTCCTCTGGTTTTTCTCCTTTGTCTCCGCTGATCGTCTTCCATTTCGATCTCGCACGGACTTGGCTTGCTTATTCTTTGATTTTGTTGGATCGATCTATGGAGGGTTTGGTCGATAGGGTTGATACTAGAAAGGGGGAGAAAGAGATGTCTGAAATAGCGGGAAGAACGTTTTGGCGCCAAAAATAAATTGGCGAAATCCCTATTACGCGATCCGGGATAATATTTTACTAATAACGTGTAATAATATAAATATATTGTGATCTACAATACAATACGTGAAATTAAAACAATTGGTCTCAATCATTAATTCTATCCTTCGTTTTCATATAAAAACTAGAAGTTGCCAACTTCCCATTTCACGGAGGACGTAAATGTGTTCATCCATTGTCAGGTTTAGTTTTAGAAACTCTTTGGTTCATCATGTTATTCTTTCGGTTTACATGTCTAACTTCAATTTATATTGTCGTATGAAAACGTATTATATATGACCAAAGTTATACGAAAAAAAATGTACATAAAAATAAACACGAAAACCCACACAAAATTTACGTCGAGACGTAAAGAAACTCGAATTTACACTCGTAATCTTGAAATTTTCGAACAAATTACTGAAATCGCCCCTATAATTTATCAAAATTATGTGTTTGGTCCCTCACTTTTCTTTTGCACTCAGACCGTACTTATTGTTTGGTTTCGTTTGTCTTTTTGGTCCCTCATTGACATAAAAAAGACTATAATGACATTCACATTTTCATTTTTATTATTATTTTTGTTATTGTTTATAAATTAATGAAAATATATTAATATACATAGGTCTCACCACCACCAATCAATTCCAGCCACCGCCTACCACCATCGGAAACCCACCAGACACTGAAAACTACCATTGATAACCACCATCCACCATTGGAAACCACCACCAGTGACCACTAGCCACCATAAACCACCAAATATAATTCCTGAATTTAACCTAAACAACCACCTAAAACTAAAATTGCAATAAACCAATATCAAAACACAATCAATAGTGCTATATTGATCTCGTTGGTCTACTCAACATCATCCCCTTCTCGTGCTTTATTGATGGTTCCAAAAAAACGGTAAACAAAAAGAACAAGTTAGTGGTGAGGACGACGGAAAGATTGTAAAAAAGAGCATATCGGAGGAGCTTATGCACCAATTGAGTTCGTATTTTGAATTTCATAAACAAATCAAACCCTAAAAACAAAAACAAATCAACAACCCCCACCCCCTAATCTAAACCTGATATGTTGGCAGTGACGGAGGAGGGGGAAGCAGTGGAGTGATTCGGTGGTTAGGGTCTCACACGAAGAAGAATTTGAAGGATGAAGCAAAGGTCGCCACCCTAGCGAAGAGGTTGGATTAGCCAGCGAGAGGAGATGTGAGTTGTAGAGAGAGTATGTAGGTTTTAAATGAGATGGAAGTCGTGGTGCAGGTATGTTGGGAAATAGTACATGGATGGTGACCGCAAGAGATGAATACCAGTGGAGGAGGCGGTGATTGCACATGTCGAAATTTGTCACCGTTGAGTTTAATCAGATAAATGCAAAGCCATCTTCGTCTCTGCCTCCATGAACAAAGGTGATGGTGGCAGAGTAGGTAGGCGTTTGATGTAACACCCTGTTTATTTAATAAATAAATTAATGAACGGGTAGTAGCCCAAAAATCAATAATTATATAGCAGGGTGTTGGCCTCGAGGAGCTAATTGTCACAATTTTAGAAGTTGGGGGGGGGGGGTTTAAAGTGTAAGTTTCGGGATTTATTTAGCAAAGATTCTTAGAAGACAGGGGGTGTTTGGTATCATTTGGACCTAATATGAAATGATTTATGGAAGAAGGGGCTAAAGAGTAAATTCTGGACCAATTTAAAAAGGATTTGTTAAGGTAGGGGCGTTTAGTAAAATCTGGACATAATTTGTAAAGGAATTCAAGGGGCAGGGTTTAAATGGTAATTTATAGGCCTCTTTTGGAAAGATCCTATGGGGAGGGACCAAAATTATAATTATGCAAAAGATTTAAAGTGGACGGGGTTATAACCCGCCACCCTCACCATGTCAAACCCTAAACCTAAGAGATGTTCCAGCCACCACCACCTCCCTTCTGTTCGTTGTTCCGATCAAACGGGGACGCCTGCCGCCTCACCATTGAGCACCGCCGACCGCTACACTGCCATTGAAGGTCGCCATTCGGACGCTGCTACCGGAGAACCGTTGAGGGTCGATGAAGATGATGAGTTGTCACCATTCCGATCAGCGGATGACCGCTAGTGGGTCCGTTCTTCTGCCGCTGCATTGCCTTTTGTGATGCTGTCGTCGTTCGTTAAATGCCACCAGGTGGGTGGCTGCTTTCGGATCTAGAGCAAAGCGTATGAGGGCTCGTTACCTTATTCTGCCGCCACCAGCCACCGTGAAAGGGTGGTTGTGTGTGCTTTGTGGTGTTTGTGTTCGAATGTTGTGATGGTATAAGGCTGCTCGAACGATTCTTGGCCGGAGATCCGAAGGAAAACCCCACTGCCACCACCGTGAGGTGGTGGCTGCCACTCCCTGTTGCCGTTGCCGCCTCTTCGTGGTTCTGCCGTCGCCAAACGCCACCTGATAGATGGTTGTGTTACTGTTCCGAACATAGAGTGTGGGTGTGTGTTATTTGGTTGATGTGGGGTTGGGTTGTGTGGCTGGAAAATCAAGAATAGCCACCACCACCACCGTGAGGTGGTGGCTGCCACCACGTGTCACCGTCGGCCATCACTCGGGTGGTTGTATGTGTGTTTATGTTAGTTAGTGTGTGTGTTTATTTTGGATTAAAGCATTGTAATTGTAATTAGCAAAAAGAATAATGAAAAGAAACTCAAAACCACCACCGTAAGGTGGTGGCCACCGCCGTGAGCCGCCGTTGACCACCACTACCCGAGGTGGTAGTGGGTGGTGCCCAACTAGTGAAACCCTAAGGGGCCTAGTGAAACCCTAATATGCTTAAAGATTTAGTTTTGGGCCTATTGGGCTATGATTGGGTGGGAAACCCTAATTAGGGTTTAGAAAACCCTAATATTGGATTTATGGGCCTTGGACTTATTGGGGCCCACATTTGGGCCATTGGATTGGAATTGTGAATTACACCCAATCACACCATATGATTTATCTAGTAGAGTGATTGACTTAATGGATTAAGTCCTTAATGGGTTAAGTGAGAAACACTTAACCCTAATTGTCATTTTATGTGAAAATCCTAATTTCACTTGGGCATTGAGTTGGGCCTTTCTATTGGGTTTTAGTAATTGGACCAATAATGGGCCATCCAAGAATGATTATATGGACTAGAATATTTAGTTGGGATTTCGGGTAAGGCCCATATGAAGGTTTTGGCCCAATTTGGGAAATTGGGCCATAGATGGGCCATAGTTGGGCCTTGGTTCATTATTAGACTTTTGGGGCTTTGGATTGGGCCTTGAGCTTGATTAAAGCTAACTTAGGGGTAAAGTAGTCTTTTACCCCAAGCATGGACTTATGGATATGTGTTGGGGACCCAATTATTAATTGGGTGTTATTTTGATGTTGATAGATTCGGGAATCTATCACCCAGCAGCTAGGGTTTTGTCAGCGGGACTTCAGCAGTGTGAGGTGAGTTCTCTTCCAGTAGAAACGGGTCTAAGGCCACAATGTCGGCCCGTTTAGATGTTTGTAGTTCCAGACTACGTTCCGATGCCGGGACGGTCCCGAGAAGAGTGTATATATGCTTGTTGTCTTTGTGATTCATGCAGGTTATGTGTTATGTGTTTCGGGGCAAACCCGATGTCGGGGCAAGCCTGATGTATGTTAGCTTATATGTTATGTGTTATGTATTCCGGGGCAAGCCCGATGCCAGGGAAAACCCGATGTATGTTAGTGTATCTGTTATATGTTATGTGTTCCGGGGTAAGCCCGATGCATGTTAGCTTATATGTTATGTGTTATGTGTTCCGGGGTAAACCCGATGTATGTTATATGCTTATGTATTATGTTTATGATATATGTTATGCTGTGTATGCCGGGGTAAGCCCGATGCCAGACGTGGTCTGATGCCGGGGTGAGCCCGATGCCAGACGTGGTCTGATGCCGGGGTGAGCCCGATGTCGGGCAGGAGTCCGATGTCGGGTAAGCCAATGTCGGGTTCGTCCCGATGCAGCTAGGTGGTGTCCCAAAGTTATGTTCATGTTATGTGTTTATGTTATATGCATTGTTGATATGTTTATGTGAGTACCGGATTACGGTCCGATGCCGGGCGGGGGCCCGATGCAGTGGGCTAGGCCCAAATTATGTGATTATGTGTATGGTATGTGGTAGTTTGGGGAGACTCACTAAGCTTCGTGCTTACAGTTTTCAGTTTTGGTTTCAGGTACTTCAGTTTTCAAATGAGGAGCTCGGGATGATTGTAGTGCACACACCATTTGTTCAGCCTGGGATGTTTATACTCTGATATATTTGATAGTTGTTATGATACTTTGAGATACATTGTTTATGATTTTTATATGTCGTTCGATGACTATGGTTTTATTAATGGTTTAAAACAAAAATTTTGGGCTGTATTTTTGGGATGTTTCAATTTGGTATCAGAGCCATGGTTTGAGGGATTCGGTCACACTCTCGGGTGTGTCTGGACTCAAACTAAGGACTTGGTATGAAAAATTTTCAAAAGAAAAACATTTTTATAAAAAGAATTTTAAAATGAGAATATAATATTGAAAAAGAAAAGAACTTTGAAAAGAGAAAAGGGTGTGGTGCATGCAATCAGCCGAGCTCAAGTAAGCACTCCCAAATTACCCATACAAGTTTATGTTATGTTATGATTATCAACTTTATGAGAACAACATGCTAGATTAGGACTAAGGATCTAGGAAGGATGTCTTATGTGCCTATTATATGTGTATCAGCTTTATGAGAATTGCATGCTAGTTTTATGACTAAGGATCTAAGAAGGATGCCTTATGTGCCTGTTATATGTATCTCAGCTTTATGAAATGTATGCTAGTACAGATTAGTCAGGGATAGCCTGAAAGAAATATGCTTGATTATATTTACTCGATGCTCGAATGTTGCTTGCTTTGTGCTTTTAGGAGTCTTAGTTATCTTTTTCTAACTAGTAAACGAATATGTTAAGTTAGGTCTG